TTTTGATAAGAGTTCTTTGTTGTGCGGTCTCTATCTTAAAATAGCTTATTTAAAATTGCCCAGATGACTCGTGTTTTCATTCAATTGGACATTCCGCGACGTTTTGGGGTGGAGAAGGAAACTGACCGCGTTCCTTCTGCAGAAAGGGACAGTCTGTCTGTATTCTTGTCCTCTTTATGTCGTCTTGTATCTGTCTTCCGATTATGCTCCTGGCATGTACACGCCACAAACAGCACCTTAGGATTCAGCCGCCTCTCTGCGCACGCGGTGAAACCCGAATCTGAGTTGAGAAAATGGGCCACAGCCACCCAGCGCAGCGTCCTCCACAAAGTGGGGCGCCCCGAGGAGGCTCACAGGACTGGAAGGAGAGAGAGTGGGGCTTAATAAAGCCTGGCCGTGTAGAGAGTCCCTTAGCTTAGGAACAGGGGCAAGAAGGTAAATTGTTTCTAATGTAAGTCATCGGCTGTATACTTCCTAAGGGCTTATTTTACTCTTTCATAGAGGGGTCTGTAATAATTGGGACATCTTAGTAAGAGTTACAGTCTTTAAGTCTTGCCCTTGAACTTTATGGACGCTGAGAGCCTGTAGCCAGTGTGTGCCGAGGACTTCTCGGTGGTCCACCTTCTGCAGTGCTTCTCAGCCTACTGACCGGTGGCCCGTCACACAGGCATCCCCAAGGGAAGGGACAGAGGCTTCTGGGGCTGCTCAGCTGGCTCTTGTAAGGGAGGGCTTGCTGGTAGGGGGAGGGAGTGTGCAGGGAGACCAGCAGGAGCTTCCAAAATGACTAATCCCTGTAGAAACTGACCTGAGAAGTGCCCTGCTCAGCCTTCCAACCCTAATTGTTCAAAAGGTGATTTCAGTGACAGCAAAAGCATCAGAGAAACAGGTGCTCCTACCCGGCCTGGCACCAAGACAGCTTAGACCTTGGATGAGTAGCAAACTCAGAAGTGTTCGAGTTGCTCAGGGACAAGTGCTTTGCTCAGATAGGTCTTGACTATTTTCTGCTTTTTCGCCCCATAACAAAGCTTTGCTCTAAGTGGCTGCTTGATAAGTTATCGGGTAGGTGTGGGCACAGGATCTGAGGTTCTACCCACACTTTTTAAGACAAAGAAGTAATTCCAAAATAAGAATAGTAATAATAATAATGATATGAATTTTGACCAGAGGGCCCTACAGAACAACTGCCTTTTGCCCGTGTGATGGGAATAGTTTTCTTTCAGCTTTGTACATTACTGCCCGCAGAACTGGCGACCTTGGGGCACCTCTCTGTTTCTGGGGCACGTTTTGACTGAAAACTGGGTTGTATTGGAGGAAACATTTGAAACCACAAAAGAGGGTGTCGTGACACCTAAGGACATGAGAAGAAAAATTGGCTTTACTAGAAATCAAAGAAATGAAAATAATGAGAAGTTACGGGGAAAAAAATAAGCAAGACTACTTTTCCTCCACACTACGGGGGGACTGTCCATTGGGAGGGTTTATCTGAGGTCAGGCTGACAACACATATGGCATAGCACCCTGCACACTGCTCACTCCTTTTCTAAGCAAGTATTCTCAATAATTTGAGGCCTATATGGAGTGTTTGTGTCTCAAAGCGTTTAAGAATGGAATCCACATTCATGCCCAACATCTGTATAATGTTTAATTTGATCACACACACGCAGAAAACTGTTCTATTCATCCATTAAAATTAAGCAGCACGAGAGGAATTTGTTATACTTGAAGAAATTAAACTCAGGGTTCACAGAACTGGCCTCACGTTCATACTTCCTTAGTTAGAATTCTCTCCCAGCTACTTGTATGCTATGCAACGTTTAGCCTGTCTGTGCCTCAGTTTCCTTATCTGTAAGAGGGGGACATAATGGTGGTTGTAAGCCAGGCGAGGTAGCTCACACCTGTAATCCTCGCACTCTGGGAGGCTGAGATGGGTGGATCGCAAGAGCTCAGGAGATCGAGACCAGCCTGAGCTACAGCGAGACCCCATCTCATAATAGTAGCCAGGCATTGTGGTGGGCACCTGTAGTCCCAGCTACTTGGGAGGCTGAGGCACGAGAATCGCTTGATCCTAAGAGTTTGAGGTTGCTGTGAACTATGATACCACAGCAGTCCACCCCGGGAGACACAGTGAGACTCTATCTCAAAAAAAGAAAAAGTGGTTATAAAGTTTACCACACTGACTGCCACACTACAAAAACAAAGTTCTCCTTGGGGACATGGTGTTTTTTTTAGGTCAAGATAGGCCAAGACACAAGGGAGTTATATATGCTTCACGAGGCCCCAGGCACAAAACTAGTGTAAGCTACATACAACACACAAGGCAGTTCATGTGTTAAATGAAATAATTTTATTTAGTGTGCTTAGCATAATGTGTGACGCAGCCTAAGTGCCCAGGACAAGTTAGTGTTATGCAAGTTACTTAACTTCTGTGCCTCAGTTTCCTCCACTGAAAAATGGGAATGACAGTAATTCCTACCTCACAGGGTGCTGGGGACGCTTAAATGAGTTAATGTCAGAAAGCACTTAGGGACCCAGCACACCACTGGGCACAGTTGAGTCAGCACTGTGTAAGTGTCAGCCATTTGTACTACAAGCGTTGGGACGCCTAGTAGAAAAAAATCTAGTTTGAAAATCCTAGTCTTGACACACACCTAGACTAGAAAATGCCCATCAAAGACACTATCTGTGAGTAGAAAGACTGCAAGCGACATTTGGGTTTTGTACTGTGCTGTATCCTTCAAATATTCTTTTTTTTTAATTCTTTGAGACAGGTTCTCACTGTGTCACCCTGGTTAGAGTGCCGTGGCATCAGCCTAGCTCACAGCAGCCTCCAACTCCTGAATTCAAGCAATGCTCCTGCCTCAGGCTACCCAGTAGCTGAGACTATAGGCACTCACCATGATGATACTGGGCTAATTTTTCTATTTTTAGTAGAGATAGGGTCTTGCTCTTGCTCAGACTGGTCTGGAGCTCCTGAGCTCAAGCAATCTACTTATCTCGGCTTCCCAGAGTGCTAAGATCATAGGCTTGAGCCACCGCGCCCCAGCCCCAGCATTCATTTTCAACAATAAGTACATATTCCTTTAGTAATGTTTAGAAAAACTAATAGTAATTTGAAATATTTTTTCTGCATGACTAATGCTTAATTGAAGCAGCTGAGTCCTCTGATCTTCCTTCTAGTTAATGGTCTCTCTCTATCATAGTCTTAATGGTCTCTCTCTATTATAGTTCCAGGGTCTGGTCCTTTGTAAGGAGTAGCGTAAGATTTCCGCACACTGTGTAGCAGTGTTATTCAGATTCCTTCCTTCATTGCATTAGAGCCATTGAACTCCGGGTCTGTGCTCGAATCATTTGGGGGAGATTTTGAAATACAAGGTCTGATAATTAGGTGTGCAGCCTTATCCTAGAAAAAGTGCTTTGAAGGGTGGACTAGGTGCTTGGCGTCAGGGCGTAGCTTCCCAGGGGGAGTACCTGGAAACTAAGTTTTGACCATAGTCATCTTTAGCAGTGAGGTAGGTGGCACTTTTCCCAGGATGAGTTCGTGAACTTAATCGTTCAACCTCATATTCTAGTGTTGTCTCCTCACTAGACCTATCACATCTGCATGTATGGGGCTTGGCCCTGGGTATCTAAGGAAATTCTCCTGTGCAGCCAGGGAGCCAAGAGCAGCATGCACGGCATATTGCCATCCCTGCCTTGCAGAGAGCTTGGCTCCAATAACACAGCCCCCCTCTTCCTCTCTCAATCTCAGAGTCAGCCCTAGCAGTGTCTCCCAGACTGTCAGAGGGCAAGAATCCCTGGGAGTACCTGTGAAAAACACAGATCCCTGGGCTCTCACCCACATCTACCGAATCTGAACTTTTCAGAGGAAGAGACTCAGCCCCATGTATGTTGAACAAGCCCCCTGGGTGATTCTTAGCAACAGGGAAGTGTGGGAATTCTGCCCAGGCCAAGGTTCTCAGCTGTGACTGCATACTGGGAATATCTGGGGACACCTGGAGAAGTTCTGACGCCCGGTTGCTGCCACCCACTGTGTCCCCTGACTTCCAATATTTAGACGGAATGCATCTAGGACACAGCTTGGACACGGGTTTTGAAAGTCCTACTGCTTCCTGGTGTGCAGTCATGGTTGGCAATAGCCAGCAGGTTGGTGCTCAAAGTAAGATCCCGGGGCCAGCAGTGTTGGGTATCACCTGGGAACTGTTAGACGTGTTGTTTTTGGAGCCCCCTCCAGATCTACTGAATCAGAACCTGAGAACGGAACCCAGAAATCTGCGTCTGAGCAACCCTCTCAGGGATTCCAACTCCTCTCTTTTTTGTCTCTTTTTGTTTTGAGACAGAGTCTTACTTTGTTGCCCTGGGTAGAGTGCCGTGGCATCATAAACTTATAGGAACCTCAAACTCTTGGGCTCAAGCAATCCTTTTGCCTCAGCCTCCTAAGCAGCTGGGACTATAGGCACCCACCACAATTCCCAGATATTTTTTAGAGACAGGGTCTTGAGCTCTTGCTCAGGCTGGTCTTGAACTCATGAACTCAAGCAACCTACCCGCCTTGGCCTCCCAGTGTTAGAATTATAGGCCTGAGCCACTATATCTGGCCAGAACCACTTCTCTTGAGCAGTGATGTTAGAAGCAGGCTCCCAGACTCACTCCTGGAGATTTCTTAGTAGGTTTGGGCTGAGTACTCCACATGGTTAAGACCTCCCCTTGGGAAACACTGCTATAGGGGTTTACCCTGGTCCCCTTGGGCATGTTGAAGATAAAAAGGCCTTGCCATTTCTGGAGCACACCCAGCATCCCTGTGTCCTTGTGGAAGGCCTGCTGAGAGCAGAATACACAGCTATCTTCAGTCACAGTGAGTGGGTCATGTTTTCCTGAAAGCTGGCAAGTCCTGTGGTTGGGAATCCATCGTTCAAGGGTACTGACCTAAGTTTGATGTCTACTAGCAGCAGAGAAGTGCATGGTTATTCTGTGCCTAATGCCAGTGCCTCTTTGTGTTGTAGGTTTTATAATCAGCCCACCTTAGTGTGGTACCCCCAGCCCCAGGCTGGTAGCGACCAGGCCCACAGGAAAAGAGGAGGACCGGAAGTCAGTAGGTCGCTGGGCCCAAGGGACCGAGAGGACCTGGAGGTCAGAGGAATGGCCCAAGCCTACAGCCTGCCTGGCCACGTGAGGGAGGGTCCCTGGGAAGTCGGAAGAAGGACAGAGCATGTGACGAAGAAGGCAGCTTGGGAAGAAGAGCTGAGAGCCTCAGGTCCTGCCAAGTGGCAGAACGTCAGCCTTGAAAGCTGGAACCAGCCGAGGAAATTAGGGAGGCAGATGTCGGATGGCGCTGGGGAGAGATTCTTTCAAGATTTGTACCCATTCATTCAAGGAGGACACATGTTGAATTCTCAGAACAAAAGGAAATCCCGGTCGTTGCCTAGAGTCCTTGGCCCCGAGAACCTGAGTTGCACAGAAATCCCCATTCCATTAAGCGACGGATATTTACCTAAAATGCCTCCGTATCCTCCAACTTGTCCGCCTAATCTGGAACCCACAAGGCACCCAGAGAAGGGTGGCTCCTCGGTGCCTTTACCCCGGCCCAAGTTTGGGAAACCCCTCAAGCCCCCTTCTCATGGCTCGCACCAGCCTTCCAGGGGAGGAGTGGAGCTCAGCGACCGTCAGGACAGCCGGCAGGCGGACCTGCACGTCCCCAGGCACGAGCCCTGCGCCGTGGAGTCTGGCTTGGAGCCTCCAGTGTACGTGCCTCCGCCGTCATACAGGTCACCCCCCGAGCACATCCCAAACCCCTACTTGGAAGAAGACCCGGCTCCCAGACCTGTGTGCAGTGGCCACAGCCAACAGCTGCCTCTGACTGAGAAGGCCGGGGCCAGCGGGCAGCTTCCTCCTGGCCCCTTTGGCACTGGAAATGAGTACGGTGCCAGCCCCCGCTGTCCTCGTGGGCCCTCTGCCACTGCCCACGACAGCTTTGTGCAGTACATTCCCTTTGACGATCCACGGATACGACACATTAAACTAGCTCAACCCCAGGGTTTCTGTGAAGAATCAAAGCTTGATGGTAAGTCCCGGAACTCCAGTCCTGTCACCCCCCAAGAGCCACCTCGTGGGAAAATGCAGCCTGATGGCGCTGTTTGGGATCCACAGGGCCTGACGCCCCTGTCAGGGGATGAGAGAGGCCTGGCCCTGGCTGGTGCGCAGCCGTGGTGGCTGTGGGGCCAGCTCTCCAGGGACGGAGAACCCAGTGGCTTTCCCGACCAAAGAGACCACTGCGTCACCAGAGGACAGCGGCCCGAGGTGGGAGGCAGCCAGCAGCGGCACGCAGAAGGCCAGGTTTCCTCCCCACACTTGCAGGGTGCGAGTACCTGCGAAACTCAAGCCAAGCTCAAAAAGTTTGAGGCTGGGATCCAGACCAGGAAAAGTTCAAAGAAAAAAACAAACGAGACCATATTTTGTTTGGTTTCCATCCCAGTGAAATCAGAATCACATCTGCCAGATATAGATACGAACAACAATGACTTGAAACAGGGTGGCGATAAAAAGAATGGTTCTGATAAGAGCGCGGCCCTGCAGGAACAGAGCCTGCTGAGCCTCTCGTCCACCGACCTGGAGCTGCAGGCTCTCACGGGAAGCATGGGCGGGAGACCCGAGTTCCAAAAGCAAGATCTGGGGGAACCAGAAGACGACAAACAAACAAATGACCTCAGATTCGTTCACTTCACCCAGCACAGAGAGCTCAAGTATGCTGGCTCTTGGCCAGGGCACCAGTACCGAGATCAGCAAACACAAACCAGCTTCCCTGAAGAATCCCAGAGCGTGCAGCTGCTCCCTGGTGCACAGCCAGGGGGGCCAAGCGACACAGGGCCCGCTCCACAACATCCAGACCCTGCAGCCTCCGAGGGTCAGATGCACACGGCGTTGGCTTCTGGTGACCACAGACAGAGGCCAAGCGCTCATCCCCTGAGAGGTCAGAGGTCCCTCAGCCCATCTGGCAACAGTGTCTTCTCAAGGACCTCCTCCTCCACGCACCAGGCCCCTGCACCAAAAGCGGGTCGGAGTCAGCCCAGTGTGGACGTCCAGGGACACGGAGCCAGCCCCAAGCCCCTGTGCGAGGTGGTGAAGGGGGAACCGACGGGCCCGTGCAACAGCAAGCAACTGTTTGGGCAGTTTCTCCTGAAGCCGGTCAGCCGGCGTCCCTGGGATTTGATAAGCCAGTTAGAAAGTTTTAACAAGGAGCTTCAGGAAGGGGAGGAAAGCAGCAGCAGCAGCAGCAGCAGCAGCAGCAGCAGTGAGGACAGCGAGGCTGAGCACCAGCGGGAGGACCATGCTGGCTCCAGGCCAGAGAATCCCAGCTCCCCTGGACACAGCCCGGGGCTGAGGGCTGAGCTGCAGTCGGGGGCGTGGGTGCTGGAGCCTCCCGTGTGGCTGTCGGGAAGGGAGGAGCGTCAGTCTGAGCCCTGGAGTGAGGGCCCCGGGGCCAGCAGCTCTCCCCGCCCAGCCCCCTCACAGGTAGAATGTGGCAGAGGGGACTCTTTCTGGCTAGCAGACGGAAGCTGGAATAACGAGGTTGACAGGGAAGTGAATGAGCCAGTGGTCAGCCCAGGACCAGTGCAGGGACTGGTGTCTTCAAGATCAAGTGGCCAAAAGCCAGTGTCCCCACCCTCCCCAGCTGAGCCAAGGGAGCCCCAGGAAATCCAGAAACTCATCGGTGCTTTCACTTCTGCGAAACCCAGCATAGCAGGCCCTCCGAGGGTCGACAGTGGGAGACAGAGGGGTGCAGTGCTCTCGCGCTCCCTGACGGGCAAGAACCGAGGGCTCTCGGCACCAGACCTGCGGTTGGTGGGGCTCGCCCCAGGACAAGAGCAGAGCACCAGCCAGGTAGATGGGTCTTCAGGTGAAGCAATAGAAATCCCCCCAGGTGAGTCCCTGCAGGCCAGGGCTGCAAGGATCCTGGGCATCGAGGTGGCTGTGGAGACCCTCCTGTGGGGCTCCAGGAGAGCAGGACAGAGCCAGCCTCCCCTGCCTGATGCAAGTGCCTGCAGCCCAGAGTCCCCTAGGGATGAGCCGTCATCATCTGGCTCAGCCCCAGCAGATGTCCTCACAGTGCCCACCGATGCCTTTTATGGAAGGAGGAAGTGCGGCTGGACTCAAAGCCCCCTCTTTGTCGGGGAAAGGGATAGTGCCAGGAGGGCCTCCCCAATGTCTGATCAGTCAAGTGTGGACGGGGTCATCACCAGTGAAGCCTCCAGCCCTGAGCCTCCCCTCAACCTCTTGGAGTCTAGGTCTTTCAACCAAAAGGATATGGGGGCAAGACCTCCCTTCAGGTCAACTTTGTTCCATTTTATAGAAAGGACTCCAAGCGTGGCAGGCTCCGAAAAGAGGCTCAGAAGCCCTTCCAAAGTGATTGAAAGTTTACAAGAGAAACTGGCCTCCCCTCCCAGGAGAGCAGCCCCTGACCGCCTGCTGAGAATGAAGGAGGTGAGTTCGGTATCTCGGATGAGAGTGCTGAGCTGCAGAAGCACTGACTCCACAGAGGAGACTGAGGAACTGACGGCCATCAGAGGCCAGCCTGGGCCACCCAGGGGCTCCAGTGAGGACCACACAGTCTCTGGCTCCAAGCAGGGTACCTCGTGGGGAGAAAGTGAGCGTCCAGCCATGGAAAAGAAGGACGGTGATCAAGACTTCTGGTGCCCAGGTGAGGAGTCAGGCAGGAGGGCTGGTGTTCCCTATGAATCTAGAGTCCTTAGATGGTGGGAAAAAATACCAGATGGGAGGAAAGTGTAAATCTGCATATTTAGAAAAGATTGAGTTTGGCCCGCTGAATCATTTTATTAAAATATTCTTCCATTTCAAAGAATTACCCCAGAAGCTTCCCTTTTAGAGTGAAGATCTTGTAGTGTATGCATGTACTTGAAGTTACCCTTATAAACAACTACATAAAATTATCTACGTCCACAACTTTGCAGGCTTCTTCATGTGAAAAAGTCAGTCAGGAAAGTGAAAGTGTCCCAGCTTCGGTGGCAGCACCTGGACAAATCTCGCTGGACACCATAGCGTTTCTTCCCCCATACTCTCCTAAAATGATAGGCATTCACCCTAATTCATTGTTCCTTATTGACCTAATAACAATGGCACGCCAGGTTGATTCATCAAACTGTCCTTCCCACTATGCTATGTCTGCACCTTCCAAATTTCCTGGCCCTCTGATTTTTTGCTATTTTTACCGCCTCTCCATTCATAAAACTTAAAAAGGGTTGCTAGATAAAATTAATGGCTTATGCTTCTTTCATATCTTACCCCTAGAAAATCTACCCACCAATTACCTACCTTCCTTCCTTCTTTCCTTCCTTCCTTCCTTTTTATTTTGAAGGCAAGCATGAAAGTTTATTGAGAAAGTGAAAGATAGATTTACAGAGCAGAAGCAAGATAGATTGGCCATAGACAGCAAATGGGTCCCCATTATTGTCACAAAGAAAAGGCAAGGAAGACCCAAGTGTGTCTTGTGAAGCCCACTAAGTTTTGATTGTTAATCTCAGATGAGACACCCACAGGCCTTTGGGCCCTCTTCATCCCCTTCACCTTAGCGTATTTTTGGAGCCTTCTCTGATTTGTGAAACCACAAGGCAGTTTCCCATCACTGGTCACAGTGACTTTCCCCAGACAAGATTTCACCATAATCTCAGCTGTGACACAGGAGGCCCAAAGAAGTCTTGGCATCTGTGTTTCAGACGCTTTCTTCAGAAACCAAGAAGCGATCAATTACCGTATTTTATCGTGAAGAATGTGCTTCCATATGTAACGCTCGCCCATGTTTTTTGCGCAGACTTTCTTGGAAAAAAAAAAAAAACCATGCCTTTGATTTAGATTTTTCTCACAGTGCTCTTCTTCGCAGACCAGTATTGTCCTCTTCCATTCCCACCTCACCAGTGTCTTCTGAAGAGTCACTTTTCTCATCCCAGTAGATTTTATCATCCTCAGTTCCATCCATAGCACTGCTGATGTCACATTTTTAAAACAATTTCACCACCACTTTCTTCGTGACACCATTCCCCAATCTTAGGATTCAGTCTCAAACCTACGCAATGGATGCTGTCTTGATTCTGCCTGTAGGTGGTAAATCATTACCAGCTGGTTGGACCCACGATGTCCTCCCTTTATTCGGGCCATACGTCATTCTTCGTTGGACAAAAGTGCTTTCATTGCAAGTCCATCATCTGTTCAACAAAACTGATTACTATATTCCAGGATATTATGTGGGTCACTATGAAAGTTTTGAGACAGACCGTTATGGTCCATTATTTCATATCCAAGAAACACGGTCGACAGTGTCCTGAATGACACATGCAGATTTCAACTGCTTGGCTTATTGGTGTTGCTGGGAGGGCCCCATGCAAATTTTATGGTTCTTGATTTTTATGTATCTCAAAAGTTTCATAATGACCTGCATATTTTGCGTATGAATATCATTATTTGCTTTCTAGAGTTACACTATTTTTTTAATCTTTTTTGTTTTTTTGAGACAGAGTCTCACTTTGTCGCCCTTGGTAGAGTGCCATAGCATCACAGCTCACAGCAACCTCAGACTCGTGCTCTCAAGTGATCTCTTGCCTCAGCCTCCCAAGTATCTGAGACTATAGGTGCCCTCCACAACAGCTGGCACTTTTGCTCAGGCTGGTCTTGAACTCCTGAGCTCAAGCCATCCACCTGCCTCTAGAGTTACACTTTTAAGGCATAAGCATAAATAAAAGAATTTAAACATATATATGGAATTAGTATGACCTGTGTATAATGCATATCCTTAAATTTCCCCTCAGAAATTTGGGCCCAAAAGATATGCGTTATATATGGCAAATATAGTATGTATCCTAGAAATGATTAAAAGAAGAATGGAAATAAACATCAAAAGGTCCACATTATAAAGGCCCTTCCATCATTCAGGCCAGGTCCTTTTCACAGAGTTCTTTTCACAGTAAGGGAAAACTGCCCCCTAAGTGGGAGCCACTCCTTCCAGAGCAGGACCCACCCTTCTTCCTATGATGCTTCCAACAGGTGGTTCTACTCCTCCCACTCCTTTTTATTTTCTGTTTCGCAATCCAAGACTTTAGAAATAACTGGAAACAAACCGTTGTTTCTGCTGGAATGATCCAGAAGTGTGCAGTAAACAAAAACATCTACTTGAGTCTTCTTAAATTTCCCCACAGATGCCCTGGTTTGAGTCTTGGGGTCATTAGCCAGTGATCCTCTGTTCCTTATGCAAAGTCCACGATCGAAACGATCCACCTGCCGGGGCTCTCGTGGGTCCTCTGAGGTTACAAGGCAGGTCTTTGTTGAGGAAGAGAATAGTGTGAGTCTGGAACCTTTGCCACTATGGTAGAAAAGTGTCACCTGGCCTGGCCTGTATTTTGAGCTGTTGGGATTTTCTTCTTTTTGTAGGGTTCAGGTGATTGCTTTCTAGCTCCTCACACGTCCCCCAAATATGCCCCCTGTGTTTTAAGGACCAGCTAAAACATGGCATAGGCTTCTAAAGCAAGTTTCCTCATCTGTCAAATCGTAATGTTTTTATCAGTCCTGCTGCTTTCTGAGAATTGTAAGGATTTTAAAATAAGACAAATCCTATTATAATAAAGCACCAGTTTGTAAATATTTCTTTCTCTCAGTGCATGGATACCTTTTTTCAGGGATTATTTGGTAAAATAGGATTTCTAGTTCAGTAAACCACACCGTCAGTTTTTAGCTTGAGCATTTGACATGTGGATGGAGTCCAGAAGGTATCTAAAAACACACAGATAATGGCAATTTTTTATTTTAGCTAGCCCTTAAAAATATCTCCCTTGTTGGGGTGGCGCCTGTGGCTCAAGGGGTAGGGCGCCAGCCCCATATACCAGGGGTGCCAGGTTCAAGCCTGGCCCCCCGGACAAAAACTGCAAAAAAAAAAAAAAATCTCCCTTGTGATCTTTAAATTTTTTTTAGCTATAGTTGCCAACCACTAGGAATTTTAATTCCCCCCCCATCTGATGCGTTTGTTAATACACAGCAAAATGGCCAAAAATCTGCAGGCAGAGGGCTACTCAAGTTGACAGCGACCCCAGGCATTCCCAAGTACAGGCACGCATCGCTTAATGATGGGATGTGCCGTGAGAAACGTGTCGTTCTGTGATCCCATCACTGTCTGAACATCATAGAGTGGATTTACCCAGATTCAATGGTGGAGCCCGTTGCCCTCTGCACACCTGTACAAAGTGTCACCATACGTCAAGGGAATATTAAGGGTATACAGGCCACTGTAACACAACAGTGTGTACCTAAATATATCTAAACATAGAAACATTACAGTAAAAACACGGTATAAAAGATAAAAAGTGATATGTCCATACAGGGCCCTTGGAAGTTGCTGTGGGTGAGTGGGTGGGTGGTGAGTGACCGGGAAGGCCTAGGACGTGCCTGTACACAATTGTAGACTTGAGGCTGCACTAAGGTAATCAGAAGGCCACTGTGGTACAGTGTGCTGACAGCAAGGGATAGCTAGTGTGGGGTTCCTAGGGGACAGGACTTTTTCAGCTCCATTATGATCTAATGGGCCCATTGTGGTATGTGTGGTCTGTTGTTGACTGAAATGTCATCATGCGGCATGTGGCTAACTGGAGAGCAGGGCACTGTTGGGGACACTGTCTTAGATTTGGTCTGCATAGGTGGCCCTCCATGAGCCAGCCTTTCGTCAGGTGGACACCAGGCCTCATATTCAACGCTAGTTGTTTTGAGAGGAACAGAGGCCCTATTAGTTGAGGTGGTAAAACTTTTGACATGTCTGCTTTTCCACTCACTGTTTCTTCACAAAGTAGAATAAAGCCTTGTCAATGTGTTACTGATAAACCATGGGGCTTTTGAGACGGAGTCTCACTCGGTTGATCTGGTAGAGTGCTGGGGCATCACAGCTCACAGCAACCTCAAACTCTTGGGCTCAAGCGATCCTCCTGCCTCAGCCTCCTGAGCAGCTGGGACTACAGGCACTCACTATAACACCTGGCTGATTTTTTTGCTTTTAGTAAAGACAGGGTCTCGCTCTTGCTTAGGCTGGTCTCAAATTCCTGAGCTTAAGCAATCTACCTGTGTCAGCTTCCCAAAGTGCTAGGACCACCAGGTCCAGCCACTAAGACTCCTCATTCCTACCCTACCCACCCCTGTCCCCGTGTGCTGGAATCACCTCATTGCTCCTGAAGTCACAGCCCACTTAAACCAGATTCTGTTCTGGAACTATAAAATAAGGTCATGCCGTGTACATCCTTAGCCCCCCAGACCTCCACACCCTGTTGGACCTCACTATCTGTGCTGTGTTGTACTGATCATATCATGAAGTTGGTCCCTTCACTTTACGTCTTTTTAGTGGTCTTTTGTGGCTCTAAGAAATCAGTGGCTTAAAACTAATTTAGGGGAGGGTAATCGATGGGGCCGCACCTATGGTGCATCTTACAAGGGTACATGCGAAATTTACTAAATGTAGAATATAAATGTCTTAACACAATAACTAAGAAAATGCCATGAAGGCTGTGTTAACCAGTTTGATGAAAATATTTCAAATTATATATAAAACCAGCACATTGTAACCCATGATTGCATTGATGTACACAGCTATGATTTAAAAAAAAAACAAACGAACTAATTTAGGTCTCAGAATCCCATCTCTGGTCCTGTTCCATGGCAGACGTGTAGCCACAGCCCAGACATGATACAGACCCTCTCAGTTCTATCAGCCTCTGTGCAAACTGTATTAATATTCTGCCAGGGAAAAACAGAGGAGAGATCTGCTTGAGGCTCAAAGTTGGGGGAATCTGGGAAGGTCTAGTGACTCTAGAAGTGCCATTAGAAGGCCAGAAGTTAACATGTCTTCAAGGACATTAGCGTTCCAGGGTATTAATACAGGAAGTACCCAGTAGGGGCAGGCCTCAGCGGGTTGTCAGGAGCTGAACTAGAGCCCACAGGACGAAGGATTGCAAATAAATACTCTGAGTAATCACTGTACCCTGGAGACCTCTGCTGTCCGGTACCGTAGCCCCTTGTCACCTGTGGCTACTGAGCACTTAAACTGTAGCTCATTGAGATATGCCGGGTGTGTAAAATACCGATTCCAAGGACTTTGTACAAAAAAGGAATCTGGTGCAGCTCAATAATTTTTATGTCGATTACATGTTGAAATGATATTTCACATATATTTCATGAAGTAAAACATTAATATCAATGTCACCGGTTTCCTTTTGTTTTTAATTTGGCTACTAGAAAATTTAAAACATGTGGCTCACGTATTTTTTTTAATGGTTTCAGCATCATCTTCCAGATTTGTGTTCATTTTTTATATTAAGTCATAAACACATACATCGTGTATGCATTGATGCCTTTGTAGGGTACAATGTGCTGATTTTATATACAATTAGGAATGCTTACATCAAACTGATTAAGATAGCCTTCACCTCATTTACTTAATTATTGTCTTAAGACATTTATACTCTATACTTCATAGATTTGACAAGTACCCTTGCAATATGAGCCATATTTTTATTGGACCTAGACCATCCTCGGGCTGAAGAGCCAGTTCTGCAGGATTTTCTCCCTGGCTTCCCGTGTCTGAGTCCCTCTGTTTCAACTGCGGGGTTGTGGGCAGCGGGTTCACTCTGCGGAGGTCTCTCTGCTGGGCGTGGCACCGAGAGGACTGTTCAAGTCCCTGGTGATTAATTTGAGGCTTAATAGATGCTCAGCCTCTTCCAGGCCTCCCACGAGCTGGAAGTGTGACCTTTACACATTCTGGTCCATTAGTGACCCCATGTCATTGTCAGTGAAGAAAAGGCACTGTTGATTGCACACAAGACGACTCTCAGAATCTGCACACCATGAGGCTGAGGACAGAAACGCAAGGCTCAGCGGGGAATGGCTCGTGGTTCCACGGGTGGCATTAAGTATAAAATGTGAACTCTGTTGCCTTTCAGCCAGATCGGCCCTGGGTGCTGTTGATCAATTTCAAGCAGGAGCAAGCTCCTTTTCCTAAATGCAGACGCTGTCCCGTCTGGGTTGTCCCCTCTGACTCAACGTGCTGTAAACACTGTCTTGGCCACCGCAGTCATAGTACCCGTTGTATCATAAAAACATCTGGGCCAAGTTATGAAGGAGCCGGGAGGGTGTGGGGAAAGCTTTTCCTGCTGGAGAGATCGGCGTCTCCGCAGACTGTGTAATGCCCAGATGCCAGGTGGATTTCAGAAAAGATAGTTTTGCAACTGTCTTCTGTCAAATTGTACCATCTTTCCACATTTTCGTGTGCGTGTGATTTAGCATTATTCCGGAAATTTTTTTTTGAATTTCAGATGAATATAAGGGTACATGTGATTAGGTTACGTTGTTTGCGATTGTTAGGAAAAGACTGAGTTATATAGTTAAGCCTTTCCCCAGGAGGTATGCCGTTCACCCTTACATTGTACCTGTTAAGTGGGAGCTGACTGAGCCCCTTTCTCCCCACCCTCCTGCCCCCTTTCTTGAATTTGTGCTTTTCCTCTCATGTGGGCCTGTATCTCCAGAATGGAAAAACAAGCTCAGCGCCTGTAGCACAATGGTTACAGTGCGGGCTGCAACACTGGGGCTGGTGAGTTCAAACTCGGCCCAGACCTGCTAAACAACAACGACAACTGCAACAAAAAATATCCAAGCATTGTGGCGGGTGCCTGTAGTCCCAGCTACTTGGGAGGCTGAGGCAAGAGAATTGCCTAAGCCCAAGAGTTGGAGGTTGCTATAAGCTGTGGCACCACGTCACTCTTCCGCCAGCAACATAGACTCTGTCTCAAAAAAAGAATGGAAAAGCAAGCATCCCAAGTATTCAATACTAATTTGAAAGTAGTACTTGTCCAATTCCAGATTTGTTTTCTTTTTAACGAATCGCCTTTTTGCACTACGCTGAGCCTTGCTTTCCCCCCAACTTTATGGAGATACGAATGACAAATAAAAATTAGACATATTTAAAACCATGATGTTCTGTACACACATCTGTTTGGAAATGAGTACCACAGTCAAGCTAATTGACATACGTGTCGCCTGACGTAATCACCATTATCGTGAGTTTTCGGTGACAACTCTTGAGATCTACTCTCTTAGCAAATTCCGGGTGTAAAATACAGCACTGTTCACTGTAGTCACACTGTACATTAAGTCGCCAGGACGTACTCGTCTTATAGCTGAAGGTTTCTACCCTTTGACTCCTATCTCCCCTTTTCCCCACCTCGCCCCTGGTAACCACCGTTCTACTTGCTGTTCGCTGTGCATTCAGATTTTTCTTTCTTTTTTTTAAAGTTTCCACTTGTAACTGACATCATGCAGTCTCTGTCTTCCTATGCCTGGCTTATTTCATTTGTCGTAATATCCATACATTTCACCTGTTTTGTAAATGGACAGGATTTTCTTATTTTTAAAGGCTGAATAACGTTCTGACAGTTTGTTCATCCCTTCGTCCGTTTATGGATACTAGGTGGTGGGGTTGTTTCCAGGCCTGGCTACTGGGAATGACGCTGCAGGGAACAGGTGGTGCAGATGTCGCTTCCAAACTGATTTCCTTTCCTTTCACTATATACCCAGTTGTGGGATTAATGGGTCACATTGTAGTTCTGTTTTTAACTTTTTTTGAGGAAATGAGAATAGGGCTATTGCTGTTTTGTACAATGTCTTGGTTTGGAAATCTAAGTCATCTGGGCCCAGATTGGGGGTTCTCCAGTGCAGGCAATAGAATGGGTCAGTATGGTGGCCAGAAGGTTCTAGAAGCCTTGCGCTAACAGGTGTGCAGCCAGCCCTGGGCCACTTGCTGGCAGTACCTTGTTTCCCCCCAAATAAGACCTACCAAAAAAGTAAGCCCTAGCAGGATGTCTATGCATTTGTTAAATATAAGCCCTACCCCAATAATAAGACCTAGTGATGGGTGTGGCTATGCAGTGTATCTCCGTAGCCACACCATGCATTTTGGCACTGAGTAGTGAGGAAGACTGGAATACCTTTTATGTGCCACAGCTCCTTTCTCCGAGCCATTGGCATGTGGTAACCGTGGTCTCAGGCATCCTATTGCACATGTGCAAATGGCTAGGGGAAAGGAGTTCACGCATCACTAGCACCAGCCCCACCAACAAGGTCAGCTCCCTCGGTCAGGACCCAGAAGAAGATGACTTAACTGTATTTGGATAAATGTAGATTGTTGTATTATACTTAACAAAAATAAGACATCCCCTGAAAATAAGCCCTAGTGTATCATCTTGAGAAAAAATAAGTATAAGACAATGTCTTATTTTCAGGGAAACATGGTAGTTATGGGAGACAGGACTTCTCTTGTCCAGCCAGGCTCCCCCCCCCACCTTCAAGGGACAGCCTTTGGCCACAGACATACACATTCTGGCAGGGCTGTCCAGCCAGTGGCTTCTGGGCCACAGGCAAATTATGCGAGACCTGTTTGGCTTAACCGGAGTGTCAGATATTATGAAAATCATGCACAGACCTTCTTTGTGCCCATCAGCTTTCATTATTAGTTGTGTGTTTAGTGGGTGGCCCAAGACAACTCCTTTCAGTGTGGCAGAGAAGGAAAAAGCTTGGACACCCCTTGTAAGAAGCAAGCTTTCGTTAGAGTTGGGATTCACAACAGGAAAAAAGAGAGAGAAGAAGAGAGAAAGAGAAAGAAAGAAAAGAAATCCCCCGTAGTGTCAGCCAAGCACAGCCCGCCAGTTTAGAACCAGGGCATCTAGAGTTAATTACGTTCCACCACAAGCAGAAAAGAGGCCATCGAAATCACGAGCAACTCAGATTTTCCCATCTGTGTTTGGGTAATGACCATACACGTTCCTTGAAAACAGCCTTTTCGCAATGGTTTCTTACTCTTTCGCGAAAACAAGATTGTTGAAATGTCTGAAAATTAACTTTTATATACTTGTGGGTTTTGCTCCCTAAACACATTTATTTCTGGTCTGGGGATGAAACAGAAAACAGACCCGTTGAACATAGCACTAATTTCTTTTCTGTTTTTTTTTCTTCTTCTTCTTTCTTTACAGATTCATACGACCCTAGCAGAGTGGAGAGGGTATGACGAAACGCCGGTGACACTTGGGACCTCTTTTGTTTGTCAACGGAGGAATCTCTGGTTTAGTCTATTCGCCCAACTTGCCCACGGAGAAGCTGAAAGCCGTTGTTTTTCAGTGCGGTGACTCGTCCTGTCCCACTGCCACTAGGAACCTTGCCATCCATACAGAATTGCTTGCTGGAGATCAAGCCATCGTCCGTTGAAACCATCTGTTTTTATAGCATGAAGATTTAATGCCTCTAATTAGAAAAGAGTTTTCACAGAAACGCTCCTTACTGATGGATGGGGCCAAGCTGGTAACTAGTTTGTATGGCTCTGGTTCTGTGTGCGACCTTCAACGTGGAGGATGGAGTGAGTGATTTCTGAAAGGACGGTGAATGTTATCGATTCCCCTTTGCCTGTGGCCTGGGCTCGCTGTAAGGGGTTTGGGACCCAGGCACACTTTCAGTTTGGGGGAAATGTGAATGAATATATATATATCCCATTTCTAATCAATTTGGCCTTCTGCCAGGAGTAACTTTCCTTATAAGCAACTTGCTATCAGAGAATAAAAGCAATACCTTGGAAGTTCCTACAAATTTAAACCTGTACTGTAATATACTAAGAGTATTATTTATCTGGCGATGGAGAACTTTGATTGTTTGCAAACATGCCATTGTCTGCTTTGCACTCAGTATGACCTATCTTTATTTTCTCTATGGGTATTTAGAAATTCTTTATACGAAAAGCAAAATGCTGGGTTCCAATAGACCATTTTAACAAAGTAACTATATTTCTTTTTACAAAAATGCTATTTTTCTATGATGTAAACAGTTGTTAGGTGGCAGATTTTTAAGGAAGTATGATTTTATTTAAGAGTCTGTAATCCCTTTGTGTGAGAGGAACCCAGAGGGGGTTCACTTTTGCTTTAAAGCTGATGCCATGCTGTTACCTTTCATTTCACCTTCGAAAATTGTCAACACGGACGTTATCACAGGGTTCATAAGATCAACGTCCCAGAACGATTTTTGTACAGATGTAGCTATAAGGTTATATTTGAAAATAACCCTCTCAAAACCAGCCAACATCTTCACGATAGCTTTTGCTACCACATCAACTAGAATTACCAAAAAGCATAGTTTTATCTTTGTATGTCTGTGGCGACCTGCCCCCAGACCGGCCTTTTCTCCCCTCCCCCCACCCCTTTAAAGAAACACGTATTTTTATCTAGAATGATCCGAAGTCATCTCTGAGTATTTTTTAAAAGTGTTTGGGGACATTATATATGTATGCCATTACAAAAATAATCTGAGGCCTATGTATTCTGTGTTTAATATTGCATTAACCTGCACAAAATGTATGCATTTTTTTCCCTGCATTTATTGTTTCTTTCTAAATAAGGTTTTCTTATTAACTAACATTTCCTGAAGAGTTTCTTATCTCCTTCCTCCCTCTCTCCTTTCCTTCTTTCTGTCCTTTTTTCTCCCTCTATTCCCCTCCCCACACCTTTGTTTTCTTTTTGAGAAACCACCTTCTCTATTTTTAGACATTTCAAATTCCTAAACTGTGAACCGTGGTTGGTGACCTGTCCTCTGGCCCTAAAACAACCGGGCTTTCACAGCCCGCTCTTATCTGTACCATATGATTTTATTTCATAAGAGCTTCATGTGTTTTTGGACTGTAATAAACAAAACAGAATCTAAGTAGCCCTGACAAATCTTTTCAAATTCACTTATCAGCAGTTTGGGTTTTCACCTATGACTCAGAGTCACCTCTTGCCGGACCTCGGCTCCTGGGAAGAGTTCTTGTAGGTTCAAATTTTTTCCAGCAGCAGTGAGCCGGGCCAAGTCTCTTCCCAGGATGGGTTTAGTGGGGAAGAGGTCAATCGCTCTGTTTTAGTCTTTGAACCCGTCAAGTCCTCTGGTCTTACTGATGAGGGCTGAGCCACCTGGAGGCCTTTGCTATGGGGGGAGGGTCCTGCTTCTCTCTTTAAATAAATGCCAATGCAAGCAAGTAGATGTGTGTGTGTTATACATACATACAAGTACATACACACACGTAAATGTACACGTACGTGTACGTGTCTATTAACTCTTTCCTGACTTCCCCTTCAATTTTGCTGATCCCGTCTAAAAGACCTGGGTCATCAAATGAATGAAATATGACCTTATTCCTCAGAAGAAAAAAAATTGCCACACCTATGTATCTCTCAAACCAAAATATGATGCTTTACTGTTTTGCTTTAAATTATCGTATCCTATCTTTCCGAAATTTCTAAATGTAGTCAAAATTATTATTATTTATACTTCAACTGAAATTGTTCTGCTTTCAGGCTTACATGTGAATCTCTCTGGGGAAGAAAAAGGTGGCTTTCAAAATTTAACTCAAAAAATGGACTTTTAAACTTACATAGTCTGAGATAAACATTGTTTATCAAACAATGATCAAAAAGTGATGAAAATTCACCTTTCCAGAGGCTTTGAATCGAACCCTACTGGTTCTTCTATCATTTGTATTTCTCAGATACATACAACTCCGTGATTGTTTTGTGGCCAGAGAGAAAAGGTGTTTAGGTTTTGTATTTGTCCCTGTTTTCCTCAAACACATAATTTACTGTGTGTGTGGAATAATTTGGAGCTTATAAAACGAAAAGTTCTAATTTTGACCATTTGGACTAAAAATTACATGAGGTATGACCTATGAAATATGTTGGTATTTCTTGATCTGCAGAAAGGGGAGGGGGAATGAAAGTAATGTGACTCAAATTGCCTGTCTTTGAAGAAAATTTCTGAATGACTGAAAACCAAATACCTGTTTGGTCAAGTTCCTGATTCTGCAAACTAATAAAGTCCTCTCCTCCCTAAAGATGCAGCCAGCCCCTTCTTGGATCTGCAGAATTATTTCCATGCGGGTAACTACTTGAACTTCTTTCGTAAAGGCCCCTAAACCACGAATCCGCTCTTCCACCTCCTGGTTTCCTTACTACAATTGGAGGTTGAGGTTTTAATTCACGTGGGCTTCAGAATAATGATGAAGGTGATCTGTGCAAACCACCGAGTCCCTGCTCTGAGCAGAAGGGAACAATGGAAGAAAGCATTAACCTATTATTTCATCCCGTGCCCCCCTCCCCGCCAATGAGTATGCTTGGGGGTTTGGGCTATTTTTGTTGTTTGTTTAAAATGATTAAGTGATGCACAATTCAATGTCAAGTCAACATCTCTTGCAAAATGGCCGGTGCGGCAGAATTCTCTTCTCTGTCGCTCTGTAAATGTTTGAGCTTAGAGAAACATTTCAGATCTCCTAAGTTCTTATAGGCAGTTACTTTTGTCTGGGGGAGCGTTGTTCAGGCAAGATGCATGCGTGCGGGGGAGATGAACCTTGAGAGATGGGACGTGGGGTGGGAGTGTGTTTCTTAAGCCAAAGCCATTGCAGGCCCAGGGGACTTATGCATTTTCTTTAATTGCTGATTCTCTACATCTGTTTTGTGGGAGGAGAGTTGCAGCTCAGGACAGGATTTAAGAGACATGTTCCAATGACCTTTAAGAGTCTGCATGGTGGGAGGTCGTTTTCTAGGAGTGTGGGTTGGTCCACTCTGGGACCCACCAAGCAAAGAAGGGGGAGATGATATAACATTAAAGGAGGATTGGCCTCTAGCCTGCATATTCTGTTGGCAAGAAAGAAAAAGGGAGTGGTTACAACTATAAATTCTGCTCAAGGCCTCTTGAAAAGGTCGACATGGTCTAGCAACCTGCCTGTTGAAACAGTCCTTGGGTTCCTTGGCAGTGCGGGGAGGTGGCCAGAGTGCGCACAGATTTCTGGCTTTGATTTTCAAGAGCTCCTGTCACATTTGTGACACAGCAGAGGACAAGGAGGGCCTTGTTCCACAGTCTCTGCCCACTGATTGAGACTCAAACCCAAAGGCAAGCCCGGATTGTCCAGAATTCCCTCCCAACTCCCTGAGTAAGGAGTAAGGAGGAGCCTGCCCCATACGGAAGCCAGGCCCAGCTGGGGCTCTCGGCTACCTCCGTGTACCTCTGCCCTACCGCAGAGCCAAGCTGCGTGACGTTCACGGTCACAGAGCAAGCCAGAGACAAAGGCAAGTTCAAGTTGAGAGGACTATGGCAGAAAACAGAAATGAAAACCATATGTCCCAGCCACAAAGAAAAGCAGTAACCTCCAGATTATAAAAACCAACCAAGTACTCTCCACCTGGGTCAGCTGAAATGTGAGCCCTCACAACACAGGCCTGCCAGAGAAGCTAAGAAGAAACATCTCCAAAGGAAAAAAAAAAGTTTTTTCTTTCCTTTTTCTTTTTTCCTAAAATTTGGTGAAGACACAGCCCTGAAACCCCACGGAAACTCTGTATCTGCTCATCCTTTTCTTTGATCACCGTTAAATACCCAAGGGAGGTAGAAAGGATCTGAGAAAGACACAATCAGTACTGGCCGGTTGCCAGCCGTGGTCATCACCCCCCGATCAGGCAGTGTAGGGACCTTCAGGTGATGAGGAGTGAGGGTAGGTGAAGAATAATAAAGAATAAAGTAGCCGCTGGAACCCCAGCGAAACACAGACCAATGCCTCCCGGGAGCTCTTGTCTTTCTCTGCACGAGGTAAACACCCTCACTGCTTCAGGGTGGCGGCTGGCCCACTCGGCGACGCACCTGTTCCAGACAAAGACTTTGCACGAGAGCACCTGCGTCCCTTGTCTTTGGCGGTGGGTGCCCATGCTGTGCCATCATCCCTAAAGGCTGGTCCCCAGAGGACAGCAGGCTGCTCGGTGAGAGGCTCACATGGCATGGACAGGTGACCCCCGGAGTTCCCGCATCACTGGTCCCCACTGGGTATTACCTACAAGTTCAAGCTCCTGCTTGCGTCTCCCGAACCCTTGCCAACGTGCTGGAAAGAGACCTAGAGTTAGTGCAGGGACTGGGTGTGACTTTTAGCTCCGTGACTGAACATGGGGTCTTGCATATGTCTCATCCCTGGCCTGTGTGGCCTCCCCTTCCTCTCCTACTGCTTGAACACGAGAATCAAATAGAGTAGAACCTCTGTAAGGTGACCACCAAGGGACTATAGCAAACTGGTCAACATACACAGGTGGCCAACATAAGGAACCAGGCCTATGTGCTGATACGTATATGTGGTGCACATCCAGTCTACGAAAATCATGTCAACTTGAGGTGCTTGGTGTATGGAGGTGGTCACCTATGGAGGTCCTTCTGTGTATAACAAGCCCCTGGTGTGATGTAGGTGTTCAGTGCAGAGAACAAAGCTAGACTCATGCATCATGGGAGAAATGACTTATCTGCAAGGATTTGGGGTGCAACGTCCAGGTCTTAGTGTAGGGCTCCCCCTAATTGCTTGCAGCATAGCAGTTCTGGAAGCAGATGGAGAGACACCATCCTGCTCTCAATTTCTTATTTCTTTCCAGCAGATCAATAAACTTCTAGAGCTGTTGCTTCTGAGTTTTTAAAAAATGTGGACCCCCTTTCCAACATGGGCTTCCTCTCTCTCCTGTTGCCTTGTTTATGCTGTTTTTCTCCTTCCTTCCTTTCTTTTTTTAAGAGACAGGCTCTCACTCTGTTGCTCAGGCTGGTCTCGAACTGCTGGGCTCAAGTGATCCCCCTGCATTGGCTTCCAAGTAGCTGGGACCACAGGCTCTTTCCCTTCTTTCTTCCTTGGCCCCATGTGTCTGGGTCTCCCAGGGCCCTCCAGGTAGTCTGAAATTTCAGATCACTTTCCGAGGCAGGTTTTGAAGGCAGGATTATCCTCCAGTTGGTTGGTAATTGAATGCACATATTAAAATGTAGCTGAACGAGAAATCCCTTTACCCCATTAGTGCTGGAAGGGGGAATGCACAACCTGGGGACTGGGGGACCTCATCCCGGGTCTGGCTTTGCCATTAGCCAGTTGTGACCTGGGCTACCTTCTCAGGAATACTTCACTTCGTAAGTGGAGACGGGAGGGAAGGGAATTCGCTGGTTTCTTCCAACTCTAAGATTATATAACAGTTGATTTGGCAAACCCAGAAGTCCGTGGGGTCTTTTGTCCTGCTAGAAGGGTCTGAGAGTAAAATAATTGAAAACGATGGCTGCACTGCTGGGCCACAGCCAGGGTGGGAGTCCTGCCATGCTTGCTCCCATCAGGGTGGTCTTCTTCCCTACTCCAGCAACTTATCAGGCATCCTCCCCCATCTCCTCGTATTGCTACATA